TCCTCTCCCTGTCTGAACCCGGGACTAGACCGTCTTCCCGGGTCCCTGCCGCTCTGTGCTTTTTAATCACGGCCATCGGGGCCTTGGCCAGGCTGTGGGCCGACCCAGGATGGAGTCCAGCAGGGTCTCTGCAGAGGTGGTCAGTGCAGGGCCCTGAGATGGGCTCCTCCTGGGTCAGGGGGCCCTCGTGCCATGGCCGTGTCCTCCCCAGAGACACAGGAGGGGACACAGACCCAGAGGAGGACCCCGTGGACACGGAGGCAGAGACTGCCGTGAGGGGCCACCCGCCCAGGGCCACCTGGAGCCCAGGAGCTGGAGAGGCAGGAGGAGCCCCTGGAGCCCTGGAGGGAGCTGGACAGTGTTGTCAGAGGCGGGTCCTGTCCACAGCTGGACCCCAGGCCTGTGAGGGGGACCTGGTGTGGGCACAGGGTCCCTGCAGAGGACAGGTGGTCAGTCGGTGCCCTGTCCACCCGTCTCCAAGGCGGGCAGATTCTCTGCCAGGACCCTGAGCTCATGCCCAGGAGAAAAACAGGAAAAAAATTAAAAAATAAAAATAAAATAAAATTCAAAAAATGAAATAAAATAAAGAATGATATGACGTAAGATGAAATAAAAAATGAAATAAAATAAAAGACAAGTTAAAAATCAAGTTGAATCAAAAATGAAATAAAAATGGAATAAAATAAAGAATAATATAAAGTAAAATGAAATAAAAATAAAATAAAAATGAAATTGAATTTAAAATAAGATAAAAATTAAAGTAAAATAAAAAATAAAATCCAATTAAATTAAAATGAAGTAAAATAAAAAGTGAAGTGGACTAAGGATCCCGTCCACCCGCTGCCCTCCCAGGTCCGTCCCCCCCAGTCCTCTTGGCTGTCACCTGGGGTGGCCCGTCCCCTGGTTCCCGGCCCCGCCCCCGGCCCTGTGGACCTGGCCCTGAGCCCGGGGACTTGGCTGCGGAGTGTCCTGGGCTCGCTGCCCGCCCCCTGGGTGGTCTCCACCTGCGGCCCCGACGCGAACTCGGGGTGAGAAGCCTCCGGGAGCGTGTCCATTCCTTTCTGCATCGTGCGCAGGGGCCCCCGGAGAAGCCGGGGGGCAGCCCTGGAGGACCTGGGGGACAGCCCAGGAGGACTCGGGGGGACAGCCCAGGAGGACTCGAGGGGACAGCCCAGGAGGACCTGGGGGGCAGCTCAGGAGGACTCGGGGGGACAGCCCAGGAGGACTCAGGGGACAGCCCAGGAGGACTCTGGGGGACAGCCCTGGAGGACCTGGGGGGCAGCCCTGGAAGACATAGGGG